TATGTCCTTTCTAATCCTATGCCTGTCCCACGTGGCCAGCTTTTCAGGGGCGGGGTCTACCAGGCCAACCCCTTTGCAGCCTTTGCTGCTTTTGCTTTGCTTTTCCCCTTTCTTCTCTCTCGTTTTGCCTTCAGCCTTTTTCTCTGTCTTTGGTTCATCCATACTGGGTACTGTCCATTCTGATCTAGAAGAGTCTTTTTGTTTCTCTTTATCTCAGTCTCCATTTTCATGTCATCTGAATCTAAAAAAAAAAAGGAAGACTATTTAACATTCATGTTAAAAAATAAATAATCCTGTGAAAGCCCAAGAATGCACCGAGTACAGCAAGAACTACCAGTACAGTAGTACAAAATACAGAAGAAAAAACCCTGGTTTGTGGAAGAGTCTTTGCCACTAAAAATATACTTCTTACAGCAAACTCAGTGCAACAGACAATGTTGCCATGTGTTCCTACAACCATGAAAGATATATAAAAAATAAAAGTTTAGGATACCATCTGTTTACTCACTGAGAAATTTAATGAATGTTGTCCCAACTGTGCTTTGAAATAACAGTTAAATAGGAAACTTTTAGGACGTACACTATAGCTTAAAATTACTGCATCACTGGATAACATATGGTGCTGAACACATGTGAGTTATAAAAAGAGCATCTCTCAGCGATTCCTTGAGTTAAATAAGACAGTTGAGGCAATAAGAGATACATACACTCATACTTTTAATGAGCAGGACTTAGAAGTGAATGAACTAATGAGAAATGACTGACCATTTTCTTATGAACCTGAACTAAATTTTTATTTTATTTTTGTATTTTAGGGAAGGGTCTACAGGGTGTTCAGGGTCTCACTACTAGACTGGACTTGTAGTGATCTGCCTGTTTATAGCCTCCTAAGAGCTTGAATTACAGGCCTGCACCACCATGCTCAGTCTCAACTGCCATCTCAGTGTGCCCCAGGGGCAGGCCAGGGGATCGAACCCCTGATCCCCGTGCCTGCTTGCAGATGCTTTAATCCGCTGAGCTATTTGGCCGGCCCTCTGAACTAAATTTTTAAAAATGTATTTTTACTCTTTCTGTAGTGGAGATTGAGTCTTATACATGCTAAGCAAGCATTCCACCACTAAGCTATACCCACAGTCGTGCTTTTGAGAAAGGATCTTGTTAAGTTCTCAAGTTGGCCCTGAACTCGTGGTCCTATCTTAAGCCTTGAATAGCAGGATCACAGGCATGTGCCACCATAACTATCTTATCCCTGAATTAAATTCTTCTGGACTTAAGAATAAATTTCAAATGAACTCAGTGGCAGGGTCAGCAGTAAAGCTGTGATGACAGAGACGAGCAGACAACAGAGAAGAAAGATCCTGACATCTTCTAAGGCTGCCATACACATCTCTAGGTAACACCTACTTAGTTCCACTGAAAGAATCTGGTAGAAAGTCTGTGCAAGCACACTGTGCTACAGCTATGAGCAAACTTACATACTGGCAAGGGGCATGCCCAGGACATCCTTCCTGGCACCTAATCACATCATACAAGATCTTCTATTAGCTTTACCACCTGACTTAAACAGTGTGAGTGTGTAATAGTCTCTTAGATACAAGTTGTTGAGTAATTTACAAACTGTTGATTATTTTAGGCATTTTAGTTACTAGGGATATCAGATTCATAAAAGCTCACTGCACTCATGGAATTCCTAACATTCTGTCAAGGGGAAAATAACAGGAGAAAGAAAACTTCAGCATATGCAAAGTGCTTCTTAGAGATGCACTGGAAGCAGAACAGACTTAAGAAAGATTTAGCTAAAAAAAAAAAAAGATTTGGTAGGATCTGAAAGCAAGGAGAAAAAAAAAAGGTTTTAAGCATACTAGTGATGTAAGTAGATTTATATTCTAAAAGAGGACTGACCAATGTATGGAATATAAAACAGAAGACAGAAGCAAAAAGGTTACACTCAATGGCATATGCAAGAACCGATGGTGATTTGGGTTGAGGTAAAAGAATGAAAGTAGACATGGAGATTCCTCCTATAAGCTTGAGACAGTACGACTTGCTAATAGAGTAGACACACAGAAGATAAAGCAAAGAGGGAACAAGGATGACTACAGGTCTATGGTTTAAAAAGAGGGTTAGAGAGCTCCAGAGTAGAAATAAAGAGGAACTGAATAAGGAACCATCCTGAAAACAAGCATATTATTAAAGGAGGAAACTCCTCTCACCTTCAGCCCCATCCCCATTTAGCTCCTGAAATACACCAAGAATGAGGGTATCCAGGGCCGGCAAGACAGCTCAGTGGACTAAGCACCTGCTTAGGCAAGTGCAGGTGTTTGATCTCAGCCACTCAGCCATGCTGGCCCTGCCCCCATGCATGCTGAGCCTCCAAGTCTGGGAGTGGTGGCACACCTATAATCCCAGCACTGAGGAGGCTGAAAAGAGGAGGATAACTAGGAGTCCAAGCTGCATAGCGAGACCCTGCACAAAATGCATAAGAAAAAAAAAAAAAGAGAGAGTATCCAGACATTGGTCTGTAAGAACTAAGAAAACTCTCTCTGGAGATGAGAAAAAGGAAGAGACAGACTCTAATGCAAGCAATTTATCAGTAAAATATCTTGGGGGTAATATTCCATGGATGCCCCAAATGATAAATCCTCCCACCCCATCCTGTTATCCTCTGGATTCCCATCATTTTGATTCTTCATATAATATAAATAATGACTACTGATCACCACACATTTGAGAAAAGCTTCTATTATAAAAAAACAGATGAAATAAGAAATAAATAAGAAATGAAGCTAGCCATGGTGGTGCACACCTGTAATGTCAATACTCTGGAGGCCAAGGCAAGAGTTCAAGGCTAGCCTGGGCTAGACAGTAAGTTCAAGGTAAGCCTGGACAAGAGACAAAAAACAAACAAACAAACAAAACAAAAAAAAAATGGAAAGGTAAAACAAAAGAAGGAAAATCCAAGACAAAAAACTAAAAATGAATACAGTAGATAAGTTTCAAAAACAAACAGTAGAGCTGGGGATGTGACTCAGTGGCAGAACTTTTTTTTTAATGTATTTGGCACAGGGTCTCACTATGCAGCCTGGATTTACAGTGATCCTCCTGTTTTCAGTCTCCCCACTGCTGGGATTACAGGTATACGGGGCCGGCATGGCATGTAGTGCTGGGGATCAAACCCAGTCCCTGTACTTGCCAAAGGAGGCGCTTAGTCCACTGAGCTATCTTGCTTGCCCGGAACTCTCATCCTGTATGCACAAGCTTTTCAACCTTACAAAGGAAGTACTGATAAATGCTATTATGTGAGTAAACCTCAAAAACATTATGCTGAATAAAAAAGGTAAGGTACAAAAGAATGCATGTATGATAATTTATGATACATGCAAAAAAAAATTTACAACACATGCAAAATAAACAAACCCAAGAGACAAAAAACACATTTACCAACTAGCAGACTGTAGGGAGTAGAGGAAGATGGAGACTGTTTAGTAGGCCAGTTTCCTTTTAGGGTAAAGAAAATACTTTGGTATTAGAGGTGATGGCTGCGTAACACTGTGCATGTGCTAAATGGCACTGAACATACTTATAATTATATGGATTTGCCTCAACAACAACAGAAAATAAGAGTGAATGAGCAGGGGTGTAATGAATGTGAAGAAAGGAAGAGAGAAAGCAAAGTAAGTGTTCCAAAAGTTTCAAGGACCAAAATAAAGAAGATTGAGATAAACGCAAATTCAAGAAATTTTTCTTGCTTTTTTTGTTCTGACATGGGACATCTCAGAAGACACTTCTGCTGCTGCTGACAATGACCCATGAGAAGAGACTAATAAGACATTTGTGATTGCTGCCCTTGAGAAGGCAGGAGGAGGAGATTCAGGGTAAGTAAAGAAACTGGCCTTTAACAGATTAATAAAAGAGGAAAAGCGGACTACACACTGAAATTCCTATGAAGTGGTAGTGGCAAGATGAGACTATTTGTATTACTTGCCTCCAATTTTTAAAGAAACCAAATTTAAGAGATTTTTTGGTATTTTTCATGGAATGAGATTGAGGGAACTGAAAAATTTTAAAGAAACTTTGAAAAATGGAAAAGCAAAATTCTAGAATTGAAGGGATGAATACCGTTCTCTTCTTCAACCATACAATGCCAAATAAATACACATCTATTTTAAGATCCTGAGTGTTGTGATCCTGCTAAATTGGTACATTAGGATGTAAAATTAAGAACTTTTTCCTACGCTGCAACTTTTTCCTTTATACTGCCACCAACTCGGGACTACGACTAAAATAGAAAAGCCCTTAGTCTGACAAAATCAAATATGTGAGTAAACCTCAAAAATATTATGCTGAGTAAAAAAGGTAAGGTACAAAAGAATGCATGTATGATAATTTACGACACATGCAAAAAAAAAAACTATGCATATGAAACTATGACTTTCAGAGTAATAAGGACACTGGAATTACAGAACAGAAACTGGACTTTGCAATAAATAAATTCACGTCTATCTGTCCAGACTGAATTGTGTACCTTTCCAATCAGGGCATGTTTAGATTTGCCTATTCCTGATACTCAGGCTATAATGAAAAACCTTCTGAATAATCCAAAAGATACATACTCAAATAAACTGAACTTCAAATAGTTTAGCAGACTCTCTTGTACCACTATGTGCCTTCACAGATGGAGATGGACAGAGGGCAATCAGAGAAGGATATCACAAAACGAGATTATACTTTTAAATGAAGCACATAAAATTACCTTTTTCATCATTATTCGCCACACATTCCATTTTCTCTTCAAACTGTTTGGGCACCACAACAGTTGCTATCTCTTGAACATCTTTCATTAAAACATCGCAGTCTATTCTGAGAATACTTTTAAGTCTGTTGAGCTCCTTTGGGGCATTCTTTTTTCTCTTTTCAGCACGCATTTTTCTTTTCCATTTACTCCGTAAACTTTTAGCCATTGTTTACCTGGCAGTTAACAAAAACATACTCTAAATTGTTTATCATAATAAATGCAAATCCCTAGAAATAGTCCTTTACAATACAGTAATAAACGGAGGGTGAACTCTTCATTGTGTTCAGTATTAATGGTGAGCTAATATGCCACTTATGCGAGGATTAACGTGGTACATGGTGATATTAAATAAGAAAAATGTCAAATTAAACTCCGTTGGGCAATGGCAAACTAAACTGAGTCAAGTCTGAATGCTACTTAAGTTTCCTTGTAAGATCCAGAAACATAATTTCCCTCAAAATGCGATGTGTCATCACCTTCACAGAGGCAGAGGTTACGTAGCTCTCGATCACTGTCGGATCCCTTGGTGCACTGCGTTTTGCATAAAGGATAGACATTCGTTGCCTGGAGGACTACCTGGGTACCATATTTTGAAAGCGCGCAACCACAAAACCAAGCCCTTGTCTAAAACGACCCAAACCCTTCCCGAAGGGCTGGAGGAGCAAAGCTAATCTTGGCGGGAATGAATGACAAGGGACTGCTCCACTTTACACTTCAAACCGGGAAGCTTACACGGCAGCCATCAAGCCGAGTCCTGCACCTTCAAACTCGGGGTCAAACTTGCCCGAAAGAGAATCAGGGCTCGAGACAAACTTCTCTACGAGTGGTAGAGGCGAGCCTCAAACCCCAAGTCCCACTGGATCCAGGATGTACGGAACTCACCTGAGAAACGCCAGACCACGCTCACCGCAAAGAACCCCCAGGCCGACCGGAAGTTCCAGTACTTCCGCTTTCCGGCCACGGCGGGCGCAAGGCACGCCGGGAGCCTGTACGTCAGAGAACGCCGTGAGAGGGGCGGGGTCTCTGGGATCCTGGCGCTTGGAAGTGTTTCACCTTTGGTCTGCGCGCCTGTCTTGGGAGGTGCCTTGCCCCTCAAAAGTATAGAAGTCGAATATGGAGAAAGGAAAAGACTGTTCCAGTCTAGGGTCAGGATCCTGGTAGGCAGGTAGGTCCCGGACGCAGGAGGGATAGCTCTGAAACTCTTGTCACGTAAGGAATGAACCTGGCCAGGCAACCCCGCCTGTCAGCTTAGACTTGAGAGCCTGCCTGACCATCCTAAGTCCGGACTCTACCTCCCTGTCTCAGTCCAGAATCCTTCGCAAAGTGGTTAGCGTGAACAGTGCCTTTCTTAAACATTTTTAATGACTTCTTCTCTGACATATTCCAGACGTACAAGGTTGAGATCTTTCCTCTGCTTCCTTCAACTCTCACTATCCACCCCTCCCCCACTACATCTGTTAAAAGCCCAACCCAAGAGTCTTGGGCTTGCCTAGAACTAATCATTCTAGGTGTTTAGCCTATTTTGAAGCCTGGACAATTTCCTATCCCAGCTGTACATACACATTAAATTCGTGCAGCTTACTATATGACAAATATCAAAGCTGTCACTATAAACAAAATAATTATTTCCTATGCCCAAAGAGAATTTAGAGGATAAAATGATCAAACTATTTCAGTGCAACCAATATTTATCTGAATACTTACGTGCTACACCTCTAAGCCTAAGTAAGACGGGCTTGTGTTGAGTTCATAAACAGCACTTATTTTTGCATGTTTCTAATAGCCCCACCAGCCTACCTGCTTGCTGTTTGTACGCAGGGCAGAACCAAGAGTTTCACATATGCTAAGCAAGTAGTCTGCCAATGAGCCACACTCCTACTTGCTAGCATGGGTTTCAAACCACACAGTTCTGGTGTGGTTTTGTTTTGTTTTTTGCGGAACCGGAGATTGAACTCAGGCCCATGCGCTTGCCAGCGAAGCGCTTATTCCACTGAGCCATCTTCCCGGCCCCTCTGTGCTGTATTTTTGGTTCTGACAGTTGTGAGAAATGAATAATGAATGTCTTAGATCGTGGATTTCCTTGTCCCCATGGTAAAGATACAATTTCGTTATCCTAGATATGTGATGATACCTTAACAAATGGTAGTCCTTTTTCTATATTGTAATTTCAAAAATATAGCTGCCCAGAGCTGTTTGCAAGCAGTGTCTTCTAGAGATTTAAATATATACTAAAAACCAAGAATTGCCTTTAGTGATGGTGTAGTAAATTTCTTTCTGGCTGATAGAGATTTCTTTGTGACACAACTTGACATTTTTTTTTCTTTAAATACATGTCTTTTAGAATAATGACATGGAAATTACTAAATTCAGAATATTGCATACTTTAAAAAACAGACTGAGAAATTCATAACATGGACTATTTAACAGGGGATTGAACTCAGGACCTTACACTTGCCAGGCAGGTGCCTATGCCACTGAGCTATCTCCCCAGCCCCTAACATGGGTTATTAAAAAAAAAGTTGGAAAGCCTCATCTCTTCAAATGGCAGCTTAGTCCTTATAGAGCAAGTGAATTTCTATTTCACAAGTTAATATTGTGCCCAGACTTTCAAGTTAGAATTTAGCCACCTATCCCAAAACTGTGTTTATATATATTGCATTTTAAATTAGAAAATGTTCTCCTTCAGATACTACAAATTGACTACATCAAGTTTAGTATACTAGAATAAAACTTTTCACCAGAAAAAATTCGGCACCACCAAAACACTATTTTATTATGAAAATGTCATAGTATTAAAATAAATGCCACAAATTCAACATCACAAATACCATTAAAAGCTGAACCATGGGCCAGTTATTGAAAAAGTATTCTTTTCTTTGTCCCTCACCAGTTGTATGAAAGTACTGTAGTTCTAACACAATTAGCTAAATGATCTTGGTATATCTATTTTTATATATTATTATTTTGTACCAGGGATTGAACTCAGAACTTTACACTTTCTTAGACAAGCAATGAAGTCGTTGAGCTATCTCCCTGGTCCTATTTTTATTTTATTTTTGTCATGTTTCTTTTGAATTATTGTTTATTTTTTGACCTTAGTATATATAAAATCCTCAATCTAATCCTTCATACCTTCCAGTATATACTCTGTAAAATAGGCATTTTGTGAATACACAAAGGTCATAGAAACCAAATGACTGCATCAGGAAAACTTTAACCCTGGTTTAAAGGTCGTTTCTTCAGAGAGCTGGAAGAAATTGAAGGAACAAGAGGCACAGTGAGTAGTGCTGCACACTCATGAGAACCAAGTGATGGCCCATCTAAAAGCTCCCGCAAGCCTGTTAGAACCAGGCAGTGGGTGGGGCCAGTCACCAGTCCTCTCCATGGGAACTGTGACATGCAGTGACTTAATAAGGAACAGGAAGATTTCTGGAATTCAGGTAGTGACCCTGCATTACCAGTTCCCTAGATGATGGAGACTTCAGAGCTCACAAGCCTCTCAAAGCTCTACAAGAGATAAAAGTGCTAAGAATCTAAGATCTTGCTTGCTTCCAAAAGCCTGTGACTAAGCTGTTGACATCACTAATCCTCCTAACTGCATTTCAGTGGATACATGCATTGTCTGAGGCCTGCACATAAAAGGTAGGCACACAGGACTCACTGCACCTCTCTTCCCACACGACACA